AGCCAGCAGACCCCGGCAATGTCTGGAGGCATCTTTGATCGTCACAACTCAGGATGGAGGTTTATACTAGCATTTAGGGAACAGAAGCCAAGGATGCTACAGACATCTGCAGTGCCCAGGACAGCCCCCCTCACATTACCTGGCCCCAACGTCACCAGTGCTACTACTGAGAAACCATGGGCTAAACTCTGTAAGATTTCTGGCTTTGTCAGTCAAAACAATCTTGACGATTTTGTAGGCGTCCACCTAACGTGTGAAAGCTCGAGACAAGTTAGCCATTATTAGAAAATTTGGCTTCCTCCCTCCAAAAGGTTTACAAATAACTTTCCCTAAAACCATCGGACATTTTCCCTTCTCTTTTGCAGCTTCTCCTTTCTATTCTGAGCGGCTGAAGGAGGCTCATGTCAGGCTGTACCCAGCCGGCCGCTGCACGTCACAACACTTGTTTAACAGAACCGTGACGAACAATATGCTGTGTGCTGGAGACACACGAAGTGGTGGGAACCAGGCAAACCTCCATGATGCCTGCCAGGTAAACACAAGAGTCTCGCCAGAGCCTGAACCCACCCAAGGGTAAAAGTGTCCCTTGGCCAACAGGCTCCGAACCAAGAAAAAAGTTACAGCCAGAACCAGGGGATCTCATCTTGAGCAGGCACTGGAAGTTCGAGATGAGGGCCTCAAAGAATAACACAATCAGAGAAAGATCAAAGTTACCCAAAGTTATGAAATCTAAACTGCAGGAAATTTCCCCAATGTCTCTACCGGAAACTCCACCTGGTTCAGGGTTTCCTGTAGGCCCAGGCAATTGATTGACTATTGAAGTGATGGATAAAGCAACACAAATTAAGCAGTTCTTTTTTTTTTAATGTTTATTTAATTTTGAGAGAGACAGAGACAGAGTACAAGCAGGGGAGGGATGGAGAAAGAGGGAGACACAGAATCTGAAGCAGGCTCCAGGCTCTGAGTTGTCAGCACAGAACCCGGCACAGGGGTCAAACTCATGAACCGCGAGATTGTGACCTGAGCCGAAGTCGGATGCTTAACTGACTCAGCCACCCAGGCGCCCCCAAATAAAGCAAATCTTGACTTCTGGAGGTGCTGGAGAACTGGGGTCTGCCACGTAGAAGGGGGAGGAGGGGCTGCAGCTTACTAGGAAGGGGGACATGGATGATTTGTGAGAAATAAGTTTTAAAAACTCTTATTCAGCCCTAATATGAGGTTTTTAGCCTGGGAAAGCAAACTATTTCAGGTTGTCTGTGTTGTTTTTAGCCTGGGAAAGCAAACTATTTCAGGTTGTCTGTGTTGGCATCCTTATCAGAGTTAGTCCTTCTCTTTCGTGATAATGAGGGACTGGGTATGGGACACAGACCAACCTGTGGCATTAGGACCTAAATATAACCAAGGCACAGTTATTGATGAGACATTTTCAAGCCTACAGTGTGTCAGGCTCTCCATCGAGGGCCTGGGGGTTGGAGGGGAAACAAAAAGAAGGAAGCAGGGCTCTTGCATCAAAGACTTTGTGGGCTTTGTTCTTATAAGGTAATCATATCAGCCTCTGCCCTCAGTTCCTTGACAACCTTTGTCTCTTTCTGAATGATTTCTTCAGAAACCTCAGCTGTACCCCTGGCTCAACAGTCATAAAAAAGTTGTATGCAAAGTGAAAATATGATCTGCAAGCTTCAAGTTAAAAACAAAAACAAGAAATTATTTTGGTTCAATAAGACGGTAACAGCCAATTACCCAGAGTCTTACAAAATGTCATATGTCGTTCTCAGAGTTCTTCATGCTCTCTCCCAATTAATTCCTATAATAACCTCATATGGTAGATAGCATGAAGTCTATTTTACAGAATATTGAATATTGAATACAGAATAATATTGAAGCACAGTGAGTCTAAGCCCACATAGCTAGTAAGTGGGAAAGTTAAAACCAGGGTTGTGGCCTGAAATGTCTGAGCAATTATCTCAATTCTACTTTGCAATGTAGAACCTAATCCCCTACAGGATCAAGATCTTTGAGATAACAATTTCCCTCTCTGAGCTAAGTACTTTGAAGAATACGATATTAGCACTACAATATTAACCCTAACTTCCCCCTAAAGAGTCTGTGTGTTGTGCAAACTGACCTGTTCTCTCTTTTGCAGGGTGACTCAGGTGGCCCCTTGGTGTGTATGAAGGACAACCACATGACTCTAGTTGGCATCATCAGTTGGGGCCTTGGCTGTGGGCAGAAAGATGTTCCAGGTGTATATACCAAGATTACTAATTACCTAGACTGGATTCAAGACAATATGCGACCATGACCAAGGACTCCCAGTTCCCTGACATCATGGGAGGAAGCCCCAGCTTCCTCCACTTCAGAAGACACACCAAGGCGGGGTGCTTCTTCACAGAGATGAGCCATAACACAGTACAAGTGGGTGGCGGGTGGGGGGAACCGATAGGAGAGGGGAGAGGATAGGTTTTCACAGGTACTTCCCATTTTAGAAGTTTCCAGGGGCTAAGATTGGATTTCAGACTGGAGTCTGTCAGCCGAGAAGACAGATAAAAGCCAACCCCTCCTGGAATACGACCATCTAGGGCAGAAGAGAAGTAGACCAAAAGCCCCACCTCCTGATCTGTCAACATGTGGAGTGCTGGAAATGGGACCACAAAGATGAAAGCATGTCTCAGTAGTAAAAAAACAAAAACAAAAAACAACCCATCATCTAGATCCTTCAGGAAGGAAGGATTGCTTTAGAAATGGAATGTCTATTTATACCCACAAGGAAGCCCAACATGGGCCTGCTAATACGGGATGGGCTGGCTGGCCAGATCATGTCCTCAACATCTTTTAAATCCAGTGTTTGGCTTTTCCCTTTCTCCACTCTACAGCTCTTGGAAGGAAATCCTTTTGTGGATAGTGTAAATCTTTTTTCTGTATAAACTTTATAATAAAACAGGAGACTTGTATCATTTTAATACCTGACAAACTAGGCTTTAGTATATTTATATCAATCCATGTTCATTTTTACTTTGTTGCCACACCCCTGTATTATACTGTGCTGAGATAATAAATTCAGATATATTTTTCACATATTTTCCCAAATCAGAGTGGAGTAATATTGTTACGTTGGCAGTATCTCACAGCTTATTTATTCTTGTCATTCATGGTCACATCTTTAAGATCATTTCAAATATTTCCTTTCATTCATCCGACATATACAGAATACTTTATAATGTACTAGTGATGGGCTCTTGGAATGGTGGTGGGGTCTGGAGCTGATGGCCAAGAAAGAAATCTTGAGACATCTTGGATGCAAAAAGGTGATTATTAAAGCAAAGGGACAGGACCCCATGGGCAGGAAGAGCTGCCCTGGGACCCTGAGGAGAGACTGATTACCTACTTGGGAGTTGGGGGAGGTAAAGTCAAGGGGAAGTTTCCAAAGGGATTTTCATATGCTAAAGAAGACTCCCAGGCTACTGGAGGCCTAGCTATTGTCAAGCTAAGGTTGTTTTTCCCTCTAGCAAAGCATTCAGACAATAGGGGGTTCCTGAAGAAATGTTCTAGTCTGCCTGCCTCAAGTATTTGTCAATGGGCTGCAGGTTATAAGGAAATTTAATTTATCTACCATTTCCTTCTGCCTTTGTTTCCCACATCACTAGGTGCTATGGACAGTAAAAAGGGGGAAGAAGGCAGTTCTTGGTTTGACAGGGAAATAAGGTACTTAAAGAAATACCAAGGATAGGGGCACCTGGGTGGCTCAGTTGGTTGGGCATCTGACACTTGATTTCTGTTCAGGTCTTGATCCCAGGGTTGTTGAGATCAAGCCTCTTTCTCCCTCTGCTCCTCTCCCTGGCTCACACATGCTCGCTCGCTCTCTAAATTAAAATAAAAAAGAAATACCAAGGTAGAACAGAGTTGGGTCACAAACCGGCAGAGAGAAACTTACTGGCATTCAGTTGCATTAAGGAATCTTAAGGAAAAAACAGGTAGGGCTTTTAAAAGTTGGCCAAGATTTGGGGCGCCTGGGTGGCTCAGTCAGTTAAGTTTCCGACTTCAGCTCAGGTCATGATCTCGCTGCTAGTGGGTTGGAGCCCCGCATTGGGCTCTGTGCTGACAGCTCAGAGCCTGGAGCCTGTTTCAGATTCTGTGTCTCCCTCTCTCTCTCTGTACCTCCCCTGCTCGCACTCTGTCGCTCTCAAAAATAAACAAACAAAATCTTTTAAAAAAATTGGGTAAGGCTTAGACTCGTGGAGAGGGGTGGGCAAGGGACTCTTGCAGCAAGGAATGTCACTGCATGAAAATATAAAGATCTGGAGAGCAAAAAGAGCAGTGGGAGTAGGGAGAGGATTTTGTACAGGTTGTCAGAAGTGAAGTTCATGAAGAACACAGGTAGGAATTTAGATGACGGTGCTTTGAATGCCAGGCAGTTTTGGACTTCATTCTGTAGGCAGCACAGAGCCACCGGGGCTTACGTGTAACAGGAATGATGAACTGAACAGAGCCGGGGAAAATGAACCACGAGGTGGATGGAATGATAGCAGACCGGGCAGGGAGGCTCCGTGGCCAGCAAGCACAGCAGTAGGAAGGAGAAGCGAGGGGAACCAAAGCACGACCTCCCTAGCATAGCGACATCCCACTGTTGGGCAGACAAGAGAGGCTAGTACTTGGACCATTTTCTTCCCATCCCATTTAGTTTTCCCCGTCATCAGAGAGAATGGACTCCCAGACCAGTCCATGTGACTTAAGTAATGCTGTTTTCTGTTTCTCTTAGATTATTTTCTTAACTAGAGATGCGACTCCTATTCCTGGCTGCAGCCTGCCAGATTTTATCACCACTGACATCCCAGATCCCAGAATAAATCTGAGATGCCTGCCCTTGGGTATGTGCCGACAGCTTCCTGGAGAGGAGAAAAAAAGGTCTCTTGAAAGGCTGTTAGAACTGCTCAGTTTAGACGTTCTTAGAAGCACATAGTTTCAGCTCAAAAAAGCAACCCTCTAAAGCCCAGAACTTAATTTAGAGAAGGAGAAAAACAGACACACAAACAAAAAACCACCACTTCCCTGAAATGTTGAAGTCCCTGGAGCAGTTGAATAAATGCAGATCACAGAGACTGAAGTCACAGATTTCTCAACTTTAGACTGCCCGCTACTTCCCTGTACAAGGGGCAGGTTTTGTTTTAGATCAAAGTGTACCTCAGCCATTTTAGAGAAACACTGCTTGAGGACAGCAATAGGAGACTCCCAGCTCCCACATCTCTGCCAGGAATCCAGGTGGTTTCAGGCCCTCCCCTTTGCATGACAAGCTTTTTTGCAGAGGGTGAATGAAATATGAACTGAAGCAGTAAGGCCTTGATGGGGTGGGCCAAGTTAAAGGCCCCAACATTCCTTTGGATGAAGTCCTAGCAACGGCCAACTTGGATGAAGACAATTGCTCACAAGGGGCCACTGACTGAGCTACAGGGCAGAGTACCAGCCCTGCAAAGAGACCCCTTTGAATTATACTAAAATACATTCAAAGAACAACACATCATTTCCCAGCGTAGGTTAGGAAATTCAGGGTAAAATGTCTGGAACTTCTTAGGCCATGGAACAACATATAAGGGGAAATTAAATAGTTCCTTATCCCCAGCTGGCTAATAAAGCAAATAGACGCTAACAGACCTGAAGAACAAAATTAAGAACAAAGATTATCAGGTAGGTGTGCAATACATTTAAGTGGGCAGAGACTTAGAGGAACTCAGATGACAGAAATAGACACCCTTCTAGAGCCCAGATCTTAAGTCTGGTGATCACAGAGTGTCGTAAACTTCTGGTTCCACGTCTAACTTCGAAAGCCAAAAACTCACACAATCCAGTACTTGGTATCTTGGGGGAAGGCTTAAGAGTTTCAAATTCAATTCCCCTTTTAAAATTCTAACAATTAAAAAAATTAATCCCATCCTGGCATGGCATCGCCACCTACTGGCCACAGAGGAAAGTACAAGTTTTACAAAATTCACCATGGTGCAAACAGGAGGGCAAAAGATATATCCACGACTAAGACAGATGGGATGCAGTATTAATAAACACCAACCACTGTCGTTTGCGAACAGAAATAAGTCCTCTTCATGGCCAGGAGGGATTTACAAAAGGGTATCAGTACAGATATGGGATAACAACCAGTATCCATACTTTACAAAGACTGCCAATGACTTATCTTCCAAGAAATCCCTATCACAATTAAGTGTCTAGGACCTGGGGTGCCTAGATGGCTGGCCAGGTGAGCATCTGACTCTTGATTTCAGCTCAGGTCATGAGTTCCCCTAGTGTGGTGAGACTGAGCCCTGCATCAGGCTCTGCTTTCGGTGTGGAGCCTGCTTAAGATTCTCTCTCCCCCTCTACCACTCTCCCCAACTCACTCTCTAAAATGTAAAAAAAAAAAAAAAAAAAAAAAAGATGCTTAGGACCTTGAAGCCCTGTTTCATGCCTGAACTGACCAACATAAGGTCAAGAGAGCAGAGAAAGCACTAGAATAGCCATCAGCAGCTTGAATGGTTTTGTCTTTTCCACACTGGGGAAAACATGATCTCAACCTTTGCTTTTACAACCTTAAAAATGACATTATATCAACATCTCCTATTTCCAGAGGTAACTAGAAAATCACACTATAACATATGGCTTTAGGCCTGCTGGTTGAAGAGACAAAAATCATAAGATCCTCCCTAAATTGATTTATTTCTTACTGCTTCTACTGAGGCCTACCAGGCATAGCACCACTGTTAGTCCTGGTAACAAAAACACTTAGGACATAGAGGACTGGTAAAATTGAACTTTATTAAGACTTAAGCATAGGAGATACTTCCACGTAAGACACATATGGAATTGAACTGCTCGATCACAACACCCTGCACTAGTTAATGTTAACACACTGCTGGATGGTAGCAGTAATGTTCTCCACTGGGCTCCAGAGGTCTGCTACACAGGTGACATGTTACTTCATATGCCAAGGCCCGCAGGTCCCATACCCTAGATACTCTACTTTTCCTCAAGTTCTTCCCTTGAAAATAGGGTGAGCTGTCCACAAGGAAATTTAGCAGCTGGATTTATAAAGCTAAAAATATCCAGGAACCAAGACTGGTTGTTTCCTATGACCTAGGAAACCTTAAAATCCTTCAGAGCCCTCAGGAGAAGTAATTCCAAGTATTCTGGGATCACAGAGGCAGAGATGTTTCCCCTACCTTGCCAGGGGTGTATATAGGACATAGTTCAGGAAAATTCTGGAGTGATGGACTATGAACACATCTGTTTGTATACAACATGATTTATCCCAGAGGAAAA